GAGAAAAATTTGTGAAATGCGATTCAAATTCTCTCGTTTTTTTTTTTGTGTATAAATAAATGCAACACGTCAACCGAAAAAACAAAATCAGGACCGATAAAAAGTTGAAATGGATAAATATGTTCAAAATGTTACTGTCTACATGTGTCATTGATGTTAAATTTTTTTCCCTTCTCTTACTTCGTCCGGTTCCATTCTTATGGGCATGCAATGTTAAAGTATGAACACTTTTTTTTTCTGTTAAAAATCATTGCCATCTTTCTATCTCTGTCTCTCTACATGGCATTCAGTTCTACCAATTCGTTCATTGATGTATGTGTTTTTTTTTCAGTATGGTTTTGCTACTTTTCTTTGGATGAGCATGTTTCACATTTGGTCCCTTTAAAATGTCAACAGCAGTGAATTATGCAAACATGCGTACATTCGATTCTTTACTATGCGTTGCACATAAAAATGACAGAAAAAAAGCACAAATTTTTGTTGTATTTTTTTTTTTTGGTTAAGTCTACGACATACAATGTGCTCTATCCTGGCCAAACAGCGACACAATGGCGTGTACGCATGCCAATGAAATACATTTTCATATCTCTGCTGCAATTTTAATTTATTTGTTTTTGGCCTGTCGTTCTTCTTTCTCTTCTAGGTCGCAGGCGCCAGCAAAGTGCTCAATTCGTATCGGCACTGTTTGTTGATTGCACTTCCTCTTCCAAATGATGCATATGCCGTGCGATGTTAATTCAGCGATTTTTTTTTTCTTTCAAAAACAAATGTATACTATACAAACGAAATACAAAGTAACATCGTTGTTTAATCATAAAAATGACTGAATTTGTCACGAATTGACATGTTGACTGAAATTCCCACGCTTTTCAGAATCATTTTACCGAGATCGATGACAAGCCAATTTACCGAAATTTCGATGCGCGCGTTCTTCAGTTCAATAAGTTCAATTGAAATGCACATCTTAAAAATTGTCTTCACGATTAGATAATGAAAGAGTTACATCTGAAGTTCATTGCAGTCAATTTTATCTGGGCCAAATCACATTGACGAACCAATTTACAAACCTTTAAAAACGACGCGGTGAAATGGAGACCCCTTTTTTTCATCGGTCACATTACAACATTTGGCCTAGGCGTCGCGCCCATATATATCATCAAAAGAAATGCATTAAGTCATATTTTCTGGCTTATTGAAGATCAGTTAAATGAACGAAAGAGGATAGAGAGAGAGAGAGAGAGAGAGAGAGAATGAGATGAGTTATGTGCAGAGTGAAGTCTACTGTGCATTAGCGGTAGCCAAACTGAACTGAACATTCACAGACCGAAATGAATACACTTGGTCTGACTATGAAGGAAATTGCATTAAATGAAAAACTATGTACACAGAGAGAAAGCACGAAAAAATGTGGCCGCGTCAGTGGTTTTCAGAAGCTGAGCGAAAAACAAACCAAGAAATCTAAAAAAACGAGCAGTTACATAAAAATGCGTTGAAAGAAGTATGTCGCCGACGAAAAAACACGCAAGGGCGGTAAATGTTTTAGTTTTTCTTTACATTTGTATCAATTTGTGTTGGAGTCAATGCATTGGAATTTGAAGCGAAAAAAAAACGACGACAAAAAAAAACGGTATATCAAACGCACACTTTGCTTGTTAAAGGTTTTGAGCGATAAAGAAAATTCCCGTTCGGCATCAAAGAAAATGAACAAAAACCGGAGAAAGAAAACAAGGTTTTTAATGTCAACTTGTTTTCCGCCGATATATTTAACGATTTCAAAATGTCATAATCACGGCATCTATAAAAGAGATTTTTCATATTCTTTAGCGTGCGCGGCTCACTCACTACAATAATTTACCGCTAACTATTTGTCATATGTGAATTAAACCGACGCCCATATTCCAATGCCATGAATATTACGTCGAAGTGAGTTCGAGACTTTTGGTTTTCGATCCGATGTATTTGAAGAAAAAGAAGAAGAAAAAAACGAATCCAACACTTGGATAACAATAAACAGAAACTAACTGAACGACTTGTTTGGCCTATGCGAACTGAGAAACATGTAGATTCAATTTCGTATCAAATTTTTGCCGCCAACTGACGGATTCTGTGCGTTTATTTTATCTCAAACGGCTTTTTAATTCCCAGATTTTTTTTTAAATTTAAATCCATTAAATATCAATTTGAAATTGAGCAATGGCAATTACATGATATGTTTTTTACATAAAAGATGAAGAAGAAAAAAACGAATCCAATCTGAATTGAGATAAAACGCACACACAGTTGAGGGAGCAACCGAAATGAAATTGAAATGAAACTATTTTTAATCGCGTGAAATGAAATGAAGACGAATGGAGAATAGAAAAGGAAAGCACTTTGTTCGATGTGAACCCATTCATGGTGCATGTCAATGTGCGTGTGTCACTTATGATTTTATGTGAACTAGATCCAAGACATTTGAGTGTTTATGCCAGAGGCTGTAAAGCAATACGAGACAAATTCATTTATGAATAGCTACTATTGATGTTTGGCACGGCATGAATTTTCCATGTTTGAAATAAAAGGGCGAGAAAAAAAGAGAAACAATTCACTTCATTGCGCATTGCAGACAAATCGAATGTGTATCAAATGGATATGATGTGTGTGTGTTGTTTTTTTTTTCTGGGTTAAGAGACACCAAAAGAGAACAAATTGATTTTAGTAGTATTAATTGAAGCGCGTTTGCGAACATCGAATGAATTGTGATGTTGTTTGTTGTGCTCGTTTTACATTTCTGGGTTATCAAATGAAGTTGTCTGAACTGCGATGAAAAACAGATGCCCTTTTAGATTTTTCCGATGGCTCGGCAATGGTTGCGTGTGTCTGGTTTATTTGAATATTTATATTATTCGTGTGTATCATTTGTCGGTTATTGTTGTCAGGAATATGGTTTTCTCCACATGAAATTTGATTCAATTTTCTTCTAATCAAATATCATTTTATACATCCGGGAACCTCCTCGAACGTCTGAAATTTACCAAAAAAATAAAATCTTATCTAAAAATAATAAGCAACCGTTTCGAATGTAAAACTCGATTTTTATTCACCACTAAAATGGAATAAAGCTTAAAACTTTGGCATAGTTAAATTTTGGTAGCGAATGGATATATAATCAATTTTCATCTTAAACATAGATTCGTTTAGACATTTTCTAAATGATTTTTCTTATCGAAAATTCTATATCTAAATCAGAGACGCTTTTGCGGAGAATTCAATGTACGAGGGGCGCTCTGAGAAGCTGAAGGAACAGGACCACATTTTCTTTTCATTTCAAGAAGTTTTCTTTTTTCATCTTTTTTGTTTAATTTTTTTGAGCAGGGCTCCTCAGTGCTTCTCCGGCTCCTCAAAGCACCCCTCACACATATAAAAAAAAAAACATTCGAAACATTCTCTGCTTTAGAGCAGAGATACAAATTTCATGCTCATACTTTCGAACCGATACGAAATTCGTAAATTGTCTGCTGATGATTTATGTGCAAATTGTCGCAGTTATAACGAAATGAAAATAAAAAACAAAATTCTTAGAAAAATGAGATTAATCTTAAACTTATGAGTACATGTCATTGCTTTTTTTTAATTATGAAATTTTCATTTGAATTAGATATTGGATGTGAACAATTACAAATTACTTAAGGTACAATAACATTGGCTTTGGTGTTGGATCGCTTTTTCCGTTAAACGACCATTGCGTGTCGTTACCAATAGGAAATTTTGTCATAGCATGAAAACGAACTGGATCCTGGCGGCATATTATTATACTGATCATAGCTCTGTTGATTCATTGCATATAAGCTTCCGGTTGGATTATAAAGATTTGATGAATACGGTGGCGGAATAACGGAGCCTCGATTCGAATAAAACGGCTCATGGATGTCGTTGGCAATCTTCACTGGTGACATAGAATTTAACATCGAAAAATCAGCGGATTTGGTTGTTTGATCATCGGCCGATTCCATTAAAATTTCCTTTTGTTTGGCTTTTCGGCGTGGATTCAATTCCAAATTATCTAAATTTTGTGCATCATTGTCACTGGAAATTGTCTCATGACTTTTAAAAGTCGCACTGGTGTTTTTGTTGGCGCTAATATTGTTGTTGGTTTCGATTTGAACACGCTTTGATTTGTATCGCCGATTTTGAAACCAAATCTTTACCTGAGTGGCTGTTAAATTCAGCGATTGAGCGAGTATTTCCCGTTCGGGTGCCGATACATAACGTTGTTGTCGAAAACGTCTCTCCAATTCTAACACTTGTGACTGAGAAAATAGAACGCGTGGCTTACGTTTGCAACGAAGTTTACCATTTTTGCGCAATTCACTGCGTGTCGACGACACAATCGGTTGATTTAATGAATCTATTCAATCGAAACATTTCAAAAATAAAATCCTAATCAATATTCATTCAAATGGAAATTAATTTTTTTGGGCAGTGACTTTTTTTTATCGATGAGCCTTCTATGTATGCAAATATTAGCTCAATCTTAAGTGAAAAACATCAAAATGGTATTATAAACTCACTTGAAATATTTTCCTCATTACAGCTTTGATGATTGGTGTCCACAAGATTTTGATCTGAATTACCAATGTTTTCCGATAGCTCCGTTAGTGTATCATCACTCTTTGAGCAAACTTCTAATTTCGAGCTAAAGCTGCTTTCCGATCGATCACTGCTTTCAATTGGACTATTTCTCATCAAATTGTTTTCGATCGATACGGTGTTGTCGGCATCTAAATCAGGTTTCACATTTAATGCATCCGTTGGTGATGCGGATAGACTGTCATAAGACGTGTATGATGGTGCATGGAAATTGGTCGAATAAGGTGATGCATGAAAACTGTTGGCAAATGTGCTATTGCCGTTATTGTAAGCGGGTATCATGCCATACGAATTTGTCGATTGAAGTGATGGATAATACGGTTGACTGTATTCGTATCCAAAATCATTTCCACCGGAAGGAGCTATGGACGAACGGTAATGTTGGAAATTCGAATGCTGATACATCATCTGGTAATTATCCTGATAAGAAGGTGGCGGTTGTCTATAATCGGCGTACATTGCATCGGACAACGGATGATACTGTTGTGGCATTTTATTCAACACTTTAAACCACAAATTGATGCGAAACGGTCATAGAATCAACGTTGACACTTTTCGTATTGGCAATGTTCACGGGCGAATAATTTTTTCTCTGGCTTAATAACACACAAAGTACTTTGATGTCGATGATAAACACACTAACTTTGTTTATATTAATCCAATTTAAGTCGTTTTAATTTTATCCGTTTTTATAATAGAATATTTCAAAACTATTATAATAATTTTGATCGCGAAAAGTAACACTTTGGATTCAAGTGGAATCAAATTTCAAAAATGCAACATTCAACTATGCAAAGAGATGTGATCAAAAAAAACTTATGTTCAAAACTCGGCCACTCTGGCATACGTTTCACGAAAGACTGAACATTTGAGAAAATTGAACATCTCGACATCGCATTTTGTACATGATCGTCGGTTTGTTTTTGTTTACTTTTCCTCCCACTATTCGTAAGCGCTGTGTAACACATGTAGCCAATGAAAACGCACAGAGATAACAGAGTACTACTGTGCATCGATGTGATCTACGGATCATATGTAGGGGAATGATGTTTAATTTTCGATACGTTGATGGCTTTTGATCGCACATTTTCTCAACAAAGAATTTTCGATAAAATACACTGCCAAAGCACTTGGAAGTAATGCTTGATGTATCGATGCATAAACGAGTGGAATTCAAAAAATATTTTAAAGCCCCAGGGATGCGCAGAAAAATGAACCAATTTAATCAAAATTATATGATTTGTATTCGAGCCAAACAATTCATGAAAATACACAGAAATTCGGTAGTTTGTTGTACTAGAGCCACTTGTCACAAGGAGTATTCTAGATATGTTTTTTCGAAAGGGCATCTGAAGACCTACAAACCGAGCAATTTTAATCAAAATCGTAGAATTTAAACTCGAGTGAGAAAGTACAAATCAAATTGTTTTCAGATTCCCATACAAACTCTTAGGAAAAACTTCACTTACAAGGGAAATAATTTTCCTGGACAAATTTTCCAAAAAGAAAAATATATTATTTGTGGATTGGACTCAAGAATCCGAAAAAATAGGTTTTATGTTGATAGCTACAAACTTGCTTGAGTTATGTCATAAACATAAAAAAAAATGAAAAGATTTTAAAGCTTGATATACATCAAGCAATATTCAATGAGAGGTGAAATTGAAATATGCAGAAAATTGAATTTTCTTAAATGAATTTAGTTTTGGAGGACTGACTATAAGACATGACATCATCGATTAAGAAAACGTTAGTTAATAAAAAACACTTTTTTGTCTTCTAAATATTATCACGTTAGAATGTTTTCTTAATCGAATTTTGTTATCATTATGACGATAAATGAAAAAAACTCTATTTCAACGATTAAATGGAATCATCTGTACATATTGTGGAATTTACCCCTATCTCCGCTAAGTCTTTTCTAACAACAACATTAAGAAAGGTTATACATTGAATTTCATTCATTAATACAAAACACATTGATTTCGTTACTAGTTTCGTTATAAATTCCTTTTATACTCTTTTTTCAACTCACTTTAAGAAACAAGACTAAAAACAAAAATGGCCAATTGTTTATAGCCCGCCCATTTTTCGATACATGCCGCCTTTACATTTAAAAGTCATTTTTCCAATCAGATGTTTTCTGGCGTTTCACATTGCTCCATCTATAGGCAGCTTTATTTTAAAACATCACTATGATTTTATCGAGCAGTTGAACAGTTTGAAGAGCATTGCAATCAAAATTTTGAACTTTTACCCGAAGCGCAATCTCTTATGAAATATTTCGGCGCTTTAGTTCAGGATTTTCTTATGGTTATTTTATGCAACGTATTTAGAATAAAATAATTAAAACGAAAAAACAAACCGTTTAATTTCATCAAAATTAAAAGTGGAACTTTATTAAATACATTCTATGTCCGATTAAGTTTCAATTTGCAAATTTATACATAATTGGCCAAAATAAATATAAAATACCCAGAGGAAATAAGAGTTGTCATTGGACTTGTTTTGCGCATTTTTTCAATTCATATTATCCAGTCGAATATTATTGAAAGAATTTTAATTTAGCTGTAGCCGTTTTCAAACAATTTTTAACAAAGTTCACTGTTTGCATGTCCAATTCGGATCCTTCTTTTGATCTAAAAAACATCCCTCTACTGGATACTTAATTAGTTAAATTGCAAGTAAAAAGTTACTTAGATTGAGCTCGTAATTAATGAATATTATTTATTTAGAAAAGCAAATGTTCGGTAATTCAAAAAATATAAAATTGGATAGCGCACATTATTGCATATTTGTTTTTGTTTGGTGATTTTAATCACACGGTTTTGTCGTTACATCGAACATTGGTTTTTTTCGATTACTAAACAACAATTGTTTATTGCTACTTCAAAAACCAAAATATGCTACTTTCAGATTAGCGGCAGGATTTTAAAAAAAGTTTTAAGTTGATACCTCGTTTGAATTAGTTGAGGTACATACAAACAAACCGAAAACGGTTTTACAGCTTGACGACATCAAGCAATATGTAAACATGCTGACAATCCGTCTACCATTGAATTTGAGCCTTTTTTATCATTCGATGCTGATTTTGTTTTTCAATAATTATTTACACTTGTTTACAAGTATAAATACCAAATTTTCAGTAAATCGTCTGGAATCGTTGCCGAAACTATTATTCGATGCAAATTGTTTTTATTTTTCACTAAGTCGACTCAGGATGAATCGAATGCGAACTTTTCAGCAAATGCATTAAGAAGAAACCATCACTAGAAAGAATTTTACCAAAATTAAACAATTTTTTCATCATTTGCTGAAAAATTAATTAAATTATAGTTATATAACACGTGTAGAAGCTCATTTGATAAACTTATCCGAGAGTCGGCTTTCGCACGTATCTAAGCTCCGGTTTTTAATTCTTGAATCTAAATGAGAGAAATCTTATTGCGAAAGGACATAGATTCTTTGGTCGTCTGTTAAAAGTGAAGCTGATGTACTCTAAAAATACACTCCCATACAGAAAACCTTTTTTTTTAAATCCAACAACATATGTACTTCATGTCACTGTTTGACTTCGGTCGACCTTTTGTAACCGCATTACGTTTACTTCAGTGATTTTGGCCGTATTATTTTCATTTTCTCCTTATTATGTTACATGAATAACAATTGTATCATTTCAGTTTGTTGGGGTGATGCGAAGCACGGTTGAACATGAATACATTAACCGTTGTGAAAACATTTCACAATATTGAGTGTTGAGCAGAAATCATTCGATTTAATTTGGTGCGTTAATTTGAAAATAAGTGTGTTGTGCCTTGAGCGATCGAATTAAAATTTGGTTCTTTTGTTCAAATCCGTTAAATTATTGGTGACTAAATCTGATCATTTGTACTTTTCTCTGTTCGACAGTGCACGCGTGTACACGCTTCGACTTACTTTATTCTAATGAAGTGTGTGGTTAGTATGTACCGCAGCAGTACAATTGATAATTTCCACTCTACTGTTGTTAATTTTGCAGAGCATTCAGTCGATATTGGCTACTATAAATTGATCATAATTAAGTGTAATCACTGCATACTATGTGCACATCACATTTTTAGCGAAGAAAAAAAAAACTATGAAAAAATTGAAGTTTTATGGACGAAAAAGACTAATTACAAACTTTGGTTCCGAAGAAAATGGATTTTTAATCATTTAAGTGAGATGTAAATTGAAAAGAGTATCAGTTGAAATTGTAAGCTTTTGACGTAAATAACAAGCTATGATAATTGAAACCACGTAATCTCCTCAAATTCTCACATTGAATTTTATTGATCCCAATATATTTTGCGCAACTACACCAACGACATCAACGTCATGCAATCATGCTTCTAAAGAAACTGCTTTACAATGTCAGAAAGTGTATGTGTACGCTCTACATTTTGCCAATCACCAATCAAAAACAAGCACAAAGAAAACGGCAACACCCAATAAGAAAGCAGATTTCTTCGGAATGCGTTAACGTTCGTGTTTATCGCTCTTAGATTTTCCCCTCGGCTTTAAATTCATCATCGACCGCACACATCTTATAGCCACGCTCGTGTGATACTTTGAACACGAATCGAGTGCTGTTGCTCTTGTATTTGTGTATTCACTGTCAAAGTCGATTATATGAAAAAAAACGCACACTTTAGCATTGGCACAAACTTACACATCGATCGAACCATACATTCCACATTTTACGACGAACGATTTTTGGCTTCTTAAACCGTTCATGAATTAAAGTCAAAAAGTGAAATGAAAGGCGACAGCACACATATATGGGTCTATTTTTCACTTCTTACGCTCGAGTGTGAGTGTGTGCGTTGGCTGTGAGTGAGTGCATTTCATTCATACGATATGATTCGGAGCATAGCAAACTAAGCAGGTCGAGGCATCATGCTGCTTGCAATACGGAAACATTAAGTATTAATGTAAGAGCCAATGATTACATACTTTGGTCGTTGTTACCGTTATATTCTCATTATTCTATGCCATTCTATACGAAAAATGCTACATGTGTATGGGTTTATGTGCGCGCGTATATGTCTGTTTGGGTTCGTTTTCAAGTTCTCCCTTACTCAAAACAAAAAACTAGTGCACAGATATTCCATGAACACAACAAAACCGAGACAATCTTGTGCTTTTTGGTTATTTCATTTTCAACGAGCGAACGCACCAGTCAATTGTGTATATTAATCAGTTTCTCTCTCTACGAGATTTTTTCCATCGGTTTTTCTCACGCGTCGTAACGAAAAAGTGTTGAAGTTTCAACGAATTGTTTAATAAATGCAGACATCTAGTGCATTAATGTGAATATAAGTGTTAATTGACTTAAAAAATAATAAATAAAAATTGAACACTTTTTTGAACACTTTTTTTAAATCAGTGAATTTGAGTGACAATTTAAAATGGATCGTGGTTTAACATCATCCTTAAAATCAACGCCATTTTCAATAAATGATATTCTCACAAAAAACAATACGACAATATTTCGTCGTTGTGATTCGTCTGGACATTTGTCGCCGATTGAAGGAAAATCGATGCATGAAAGTGAATGTGATGAGCCGTCGGACGAGCTCTCCCAACATCTTGCCAATTCAATGAGATTTTTCAAATATTCACCGCCAAACTACGAACACGATGGCAATATTGATCAATCGCCATTGCGTCACTCTGCGCACAGTTACTTATTTAATAATAACAATAGTCAAAAAGTGCACAGTGCTAATGATGTAAGGCATAAGCGTGGCTCGACGTCGGAAAAACCACCAAAATCAATCAAATATTACAATTTTCCATTAATGTTTGAGCGACCGATAGACATGAGACGGTGCGCCGATGGCGACGATTCAGGTGAGAACCGAGTGAAACATATTTTTTTTTTAAATTGTCATATATATTTTCAATAGAAATCCATGACAACTAATGGAATAAAAAGAAATAACATCGATGAAAAATATCATTTTCATGCACGTTGATTATTGTGACACGTGTCAATTCTATAATTAGCTAATAGTATTGAAGAACTTTATCCTTTTTTTTTTGTTCGAATAATTTACACAAAAGAGTTTAGTAAAAGCATTGTGTGAATGAATTGTTTGAATGAATAAAACACAAAGTAACAATGATAACGTAAAAAATGCGTGCAAATTCGTGTCTCGCGTCACATGGCACAGATCCAAAAAATAATTTGAATTTTATTTATAATAAATTCCTTAAGTAATTGGTTTTTTTTCTCTCTCTCTTGATAATTTGTTTATTCATTCAAATGAAATTTAGATTGTGACTCACTTCCGCCAATGAAAACCCATTCGCCATATGAACATCCAAACAATAATAATAATTCAATGCGGCGATCGCCACCAATCAATGGTGATGATACAACGACGTTAAAACGGAAAAAGCGATCGCGAGCCGCATTTAGCCATGCTCAGGTGTTTGAGCTCGAACGACGATTTGCACAGCAACGCTATTTATCCGGACCGGAACGATCTGATTTAGCCAAATCTTTACGTTTGACAGAGACACAAGTAAAAATTTGGTTTCAAAATCGACGATATAAAACCAAACGAAAACAGATTCAACAGCACGAAGTGGCCGTTTTGAATGCAACTAAACGGGTTCCAGTGCAAATACTTGTCCGTGAAGATGGTTCTTATGGTCATATGCTAATGCCATCGAATGGTTCACCCTCAACGGCAGTTAGTAACGGATCATCAAACACAACCGCTGCCGCACTCGCTGCAGCTGCAGCACACTACGGCAACAATATTGACCATCCAACCCTTTTGAATATGTATCGCCATCAAGTGAGTTATTATGCCATATACAATTCTCACGCGTATTTTTTCTTCCTCTTTCTTTTAATTCGAACATTGCTTGATATTATGATAGACGCTATTGTGACAAGCAAATGATGTTATTATATTTCTTTGTGTTACAACGATAAAAAAAATGCAGAAAGAACTAATCGTTATCATTTTCTTGCAGATTCAATTGGCCTACGGCAATATGGTGCCGATGCACGTACCATTTCCATACTTTTACTCACCAAATGGAACAAAAACACCACACTTTCCAGCTACACTACCAAATTCATCAATGCAAATGAGCAACAGTGATGGCAAAACAAATGTAAGGAATAGCACAACGTCACCAGAAAATTCCTCATCCCCAATCAACTTTTCCTCTCGACTTCAAAACACATTGAATGCAAGCCGTTCGAGATCAATGTCGACGGAGGAAAAAAGCCGCATTGATCATGATGAAGAAAATGTTGAAGTCGATTAACCCGTTATTGGGTAAATTTTTATTTAATTTCGAAGCAAATTGTAGGGTCACCATATGTAGATTAAAATCTCATAAGTTTTGTTTTTGTGAGGTTTTATATTTTCCAAGAAAATAATTTTGAAAATTTGAAGTTTTCATCAAATTTCACAATTGAAAACCATAAAAGTAGAAAAAAAAATTTCGTTCAAATTTGGAATTTTCAAAAAAATCCGGCAAAAATTGAATTTTTGATTCACATTGGTAGAAAAAAGTAATTACCGTCTTATTCGTTTGACGGATTTCTATTCAATCGCGATATGAATAATGACACCTTTGCACTCATAATGGGTTAAAAAAGAAAGAAAATTTGTATGATTTAGAGAAAAACGAAAGAAAATATATATATTATTCAGACATAAACTCACTTCATGTATTATTAATATAGTAAAGTCTAATGGTAAGAGATAAATATGAATATTAAAAGAGATGATGATAGTTATAGATTCATAGATCATAGAATAAATTCAAATGTGTACTAAATCTAAGGAAAAAAAACCAATGAGAATAATAAAGAATATTGAGTTGAGAAATTGCAAATGGAAACAATTCAGTTTTTCAGTTGTACAAGTGAAACATTACTTTTGAAAGAATTATGAAAATGAAATGTTTAAATTTCCATATGAATGTCAAATCAAACTTGGTTTTACTCATCCGTGACAATGTAAAACTATCTTGTAGTGGAATACATCAAGTCATAGTCTTCGTTCAACTTCACTCATTCTTTTGGGGGTCTCGTTTTCTATGAGTTTGCGAAATACATCGACTTTGTATCGGGTGTGATGTGCTGCGATGTCTCTTTTTTTTCTATTCTAAAGAACTTTTTTTCCATCCAACCCTCCAATTTTTTACGCCTCGACATTCAACTGAACATCTCTCGCCCTCACGCACACGACACTCGGCAGTTCTTCGTAACAACAAGTTAAATCGGTCTTTACATAATAAAAGAGCGTGTGCCATGAAAATTGTTATTGTCGTTGATCACTGTGGTCGCTACGAGACTGAAAATATCGAACAATACGTCAATTATCCGCAATTTATTCGTAACAAAATCTTAAGCCAACTTTTTCGATTATATTATGTGCTACTTTTTTTTTTCGTATTCTCCTTTTCACAGTCTCCGTACTTCTCGGTCTCCAATTGATGTAAGTATTGTGAGAGAGAACATCATATCATCGTTGCGACAAGTCATGGTGAATGGAAGCATCGTTTTCACAATGTATACCTTCCTAGCCGTGTGCTCAATTATTACTGTTGCCCGCCAATTCAATGATTTTAATTCACATCATATTATTGACATGATGGCAATGTGACTTTCCATACAATTCACATATATATCTGTGTCCAATGCATAGCGAACAAAACCGCAGTCGAATTAGCCACAATACACTTGAACGCTTGTGACAAACGAATCATTGAAAATCATTGAATTGAATTGGCATTTATCTTCTTGGTTTTTGTTTCGATGCTCCTTTTTTTCTCTCTCTCTCTTTCTCTTTAGCGCCCGTTACGTGGTTATTCGACGTTAGATGATTGACTCTTTGTTCACTAATTTTCGACAAATTGGTGTGAGCTATTGACAGTAATCGGATGCAGTAAAGTAAACATCACCTATTTATATAAATCATATTCTCGAGATTCGAAATCGACATTTCGGGCGAGTACTTTGTTTAGCCCCATGGAATTTCACTTCAATGTTCGCTTTTTGTCGTGACTACTGTAAAATGATGCGAAACGAAGATGTTATGCGAAATTGCAAGAGAGAATGAGAGAGTTAGAGAATAAGAGAGACTAAAAGAGCGTGTAAGAGAGAGCCCACATCATAAAAAGGATAGATGGAGAATGGCATTAACAGAAGATGATGCTAGAAAAAAAACGTTGTCGATCCTAATTTTATTCAGCATACCCAATACATATGCGAAGAAGAAGGAGAAATAAAAGAAGTGAAATAAATTCATTTCTTGCACGTACGAAGCCATTCTTTACAATTCTCATACAACGAGTAGGTATAATGGGTCGTCAATACGTTTAAGAAATTAATGGAGTCAAGAGTAAATAAGTTTATCGAGCCGAAGGATTGCAAAAAAGAAATCAACTCAAGGCATCGAATAAATGCGACACCGAAAGGAAGGAAAAAAGAAATCAATGTTTTATCAATGTATAATTTGAACTCCTTACCAATTTATGTGCGAGACGAATACACACACATGCATCGACAATGAGACAAAAATAAAAGCGGTAAACGGTCTTGGGATGCCCTAATCTAAAGTAGATACACTTGAGCCATTGCCAGCTATTGCAACGACATCAACACGAAGACATTTTTTTTTTTTTTTTTAATATGATTTTGGTTCGATTTTTCACTTTTCCATCGAATCCATCCACGTTGTCACTTTTCTTGATTATTGTCCTTATTTGTCGCTGAAATATGAAAGCAGAAGATAATCGTGTGGTGCGCTTCGAAATTGAAGAAAATCACTTAATTTTATGTGGCAGACTCGGTGTTCATCATCATTGTGCTGTGTTGGCACTGTAGTTATACACATTTGATGTCATTTTCTTTTCTCATTCATTTTTATTCCGAGTTAAAAGAAAATTACATCGAAAAGTACACTAACGTCGGGTGGGTGGATAATTGACATTAAATTGATTGAATGTGTGTTAAGCAAAAATCAAATGAATTCTTTAGAAATTGGCTACCATTTTAACAAACGTACTTTTGATCTTTTCCGTGAATTGAAATGGTGTACCGTTGTTAGTTTTTGCAAGCTCACCTTCACGTGCGCCAATTTCTGCTCAATGTCAAAAATATTGCAAACAAAACTTATTGATTTTTCGTCGATTACAATTTCAGTCAAAAACGTTTTTCGAAAAAGAAAAAAAAAATGATAGAGCTATCACTTTGATTAAGAAACATGATTTCGTTTGATGATATCGTTTTTTTTTCTCGTTCGTCTATTTAATGCGCTGTTTGAATCATCTTCAATTTTACGTCAAATCGTTTGTTACCAATTGCTCTCTACGCCCGAATTGATGAATGATGAAAATAAAAGTTGTTCTAATGAGCTTCAATGTGATTTTAAGTAGACATCATTGTATGGTCCGATTTCGAGAAAACAAAATCCAATTGAAGTATTATGCGATTTTTGTCTTAAAAAATCTCCTTTAATCTATTGGGGATGTGTGTGTGTGAGTGTTTTTGTATTTATAGCAATTAGCAATAAATATATGTTTGTGTATCACTTAAAGAGTGCGTAATTTGGAATGTCTTAAATGATGATAGCGAATTGAATCTATAAGTTTTTTTTTTGTTGGGAAAAACTCATTTGAAAATGTGTGCTCCACTTTACTGGATTTTCATTGCATAATTTTATTCGTTCTGCTTCTTTAAATTAAACCACTTCAACGGTATTCAGCCAAAGTGGCCTCGACGCGCAATTCAATGCTTTACTCAATTCGATGGAATCACTTTGTGTTATCTATCATTTTGTACTTATTCCATTGAGATCAGCACTCTTGAATATCTAGGTCTCTTCAATGTGAATATAGAAAAATTCTCGGTTAAAGCAAACCGAATGGAAATTTTAATCAGCTGTCCTTAATTAAATCTTGATCATTTTGGTTTTGTTCTCGATCATATTATAATTTTTATTTTGTTTTGTTTTCGTTTTTAAAATCCATGTACAGCTCAGTTGTAAATGATTATGAGAAACGTTCGTTTATGGTTGTCATTATTTGGTAAAAGTTATTGAATGGCACAAGACAAAATCCAAACTCAAATCTCATTTTAAGTGGTTGGCTGTAAAGTGGCTTCAAGTGTTGGGAATATATAAAATTTATATGCACGAATTGTATTCGGTGTACGTGCATGTGAAATGTGCAAACATCCAACCAATAATTATTTCTATTTGCTTGAATTGACTTGATGACTGTATACACTGGTAATAATAAATAAGCTGCGTGATAGCACACCAAAGAGTTATCATTGAATATATAAACAATTCGGCCGTGATTTGTGGTTGCATTGAGATTTTCTATATCGTTTTGAATACGATGCTCGACCAAAAATCTGGCTCGTGCAATGTAATTTGAAACTAGATCAACAAGTCAAACACTTAAAATATTCTGCAAAAGTGTTGTGGCAAAATTAGAAGCATTTGAGTTGAAGCCAAAAACTGTATATGTATGTGCCACAATGCCAGTTTTCAATATATATATTTATCGTTCATCATGAAAATTACCCAAATAATTGAAAAATGATATTAACGTTATCGTTCGAAACATGAATGGGCTCATTTTGACTGCCCACTGAATTTAGCCCGTCAATGCTCAATTTAATGAGCACGCTCGCGCACTCGCACATCCACACGAATAAAAATCAGAGCATTCGATTCAATTAGATGATGAATTTTAAGTAAAAGAACCATCAGTAATAATTGGATCAACAGTATTATAGGTATTTTTGTATACAGTTTGAAAAATGAAAATTTGGATATCTGCCGATAATCTGTTCAACACATGTGCTCTCTATTTTGCAGTTCATCGGAGAGTGATGTGCGTGTGTGTGTGTGTGCGCGCTTGTCTTCAATTTCATTTTCATTATCAATTCCATTTCACTTTGTCTTTACTTTGGCCGTAAATTTGTTGCCGCTCGGTTTCGGATGCTAAGTTGTTCAACTTTAAAACAAAAGCATCGCTCTTTTTCGGTATACTGTAATTTTCAACCATTTTAATGATGTTTAATTTGGATTTCAGAATAATTGTAATGTTGAATCTTTGTTGTTTTTAAAACGAAACACATTAAAGCCAAGATGCTAGAGAGAACGAACCAGTTACAAGGAGTTAAAGTGAAATATAAAAAGGAAGGAGCACACATACACAGCATAAAAATAACAAAACACAAAGACACGAATGATATTTTTAAAAAGAGAATCGAAATGATTTTCCATTTGATAAACCATTCAGAACAATATATTTAATTTGTTTACATATTCATTGTTGGTGTAATAT